TTCCCGTAAAGAGTCTTTAGGAAAGAGCCGGAAGTTTTCTTGAAAGCGTTGGTTGTAGGCTGTAGGTGCCGGTGCTGCGGCTGCGTTACGGAAGCCCAAGCTGTGCGGCGCGGTGCCGTCAAGTGAGTGTTTGCAGAAGCCCCTGAAGCCGCCCAAGCGCCCACCGCCCACCACCGCCCACCTTTCACCTTTCTCAGTCTCTCTCTCTGTCGGTCTCTCTCTCTCTCTCTCTCTCTCTCTCTCTCTCTCTCTCTCTCTCTCTCTCTCTCTCTCTCTCTCTCTCTCTCTCTCTCTCTCTCTCTCTCTCTCTCTCTCTCTCTCCCGCTTGCTACAGAATCAAACCGGGTCTGGTTCATACATACAATCATGTTTTTGGTCTTTCCCCCGAACAGCTCGAACAGGAACTGCCTTCGGATGTCAAGTTGGATGAGATGGCCGGCAACGGCATGGTCACATCCGTCGTCGGGAGCTCGACTCACTTCACATTCACATCATGCGCTGTCATGCACGGTCATGAGTTTGCAGATCTGTTTGTCGGCCTTACCAAGGGGGTGAAACCTGCCGGGCAACATAAAAAAAAAGGTTTCATCCTTCAGACCGCTGGCCGGGTCTGAGGCCAGTCCTCCTGAAATCCAGTGCCGGACAGGGTTTGAGGCCAACTTGCCCCAGCCCAGGGGGGCATATGACAGCAAGGACCGTGGGCTATGAGGTGCCTGCTGGGCCCTGGGAAAGGCACTGGACCAAGTAGGGGAACGGGCTCGGAAGGGGGGTGCGTCCTGCTTCTGTCCGAATCATCTGGGAGGCCTCTTTGTTGGGTGAGTCTTGTGCCGCGTGCCCATGTAGTTGCCATGTAGCCTCAGACACAAAGCCCTTGCAAATGTCGTGACAAGCTGTACTGTACAAGTACAAGCTGGCCAGTTCTTGCAGTCGCGATTGCGTCATTCTGGACTCTGGACTCTGGACTGGACTCCGGATGAATCCGGACTCCGGACATCCGGATGAGATGTGTCGATCGTCGGTTGGGCAAGGATGTGTTGCGGCGGAGTCGAAGTTCTTGCTTTTAGGCTTTTAGGTGCCGGTGACCGGTGATGTCTTACCTTGCAGACTCCCAGCCTCCCAACTCCCAGCCTCCCAGTCTAGTGCCTCCCAGGTGGCCGCTGTCCTCTTATGGACTCTCGTGTACATCGGCGATGAGGCCCAAGAACTGCAAGTGCAAGTCAGGAGGGTTCGCCACTTTTCGGTCTTTCGGGACGCTGAATCTGAAGTTTGTGCAGGGTCGTATATGTTGGCTGCAAAAATAGAAAGTTACTTCACAGCGACATGCATCATTGCATCATGTCACCATTCTTCCTAGCCTGCCACTGCTCAAATCATGTGGATTTGGTCGACATTGGTCCGTTGTCGGCATTGGTCACGTACCCGTACGACTGCAGGCTGCGGCTGCAGGCAGCCTTCGGTTCCCAGGGTCGCGGGCGGCCCGTGGCCCGTGATGCCACGGTCGTGTGCTCATGGCCGGACAGCGTTGCACAGACAGACAGACAGTCTCCTGATCAGATGGGCAGATTGATCGGAAACTTTTGCATTTTCGGGAGCTTGGCATTACTTCGAAGCTGGCATGGTTTTACAAGTTGCGCTGAATGCTGAGCTGCCGAAATGATCAGATGTTTCGGTTTTGTCACGCATCGATTGTGTGGACACCGATTGCCAGGCCAGGCTGACGTGGAGCGGGTCTAAAAGGGTCAAAAGGGTTGTGCAAGTCATGTCGGTCATGTGACTCATGTGTCATGTGACTCCCGGATGGCTTTGTTGAGATCATTTCTATTGCTAGTCACACGGGTGCCGGGTGACTATAGACCATGGAGCTCATCCGCGGTGATGGCGACGGTGGCCTAGAGGGCAAGAGGGACGCGGTGGAGCCGCGGCAGGCTCAGCAGCCTGAGCCTGCCAAAGAAGCTGACGCCGCCCTGGCCCCCGCGGCCGAAGCCGAAACCAACGAACCTGATGAACCTGCAGCCACGCTCTGCAGCCTTTGCAGGACCGCACCAGTGCACACATGATCAGACACTCGAGCCCAAGCCCCGCCGCTAGGCCAAGTGTATCCAATCCAACAGGCCAACAGGAGTCAGAATTTAGCGGCAGCGGCACACACAGAGAGAGACAGAGAGAGAGAGAGAGAGAGAGAGAGAGAGAGAGAGAGAGAGAGAGAGAGAGAGAGAGAGAGAGAGAGAGAGAGAGAGAGAGAGAAAGAAATCATGCGGGCCTGCCGTCTGCCGTGCCACTGTACAGCAGGACAGCTCTGAGCAAAGCGGATATAGAAAAATGTGTTCGCAACAAGTTCGCCATGACCCACGACGAGTGTCGGAACGCCGAGCGGGTGATGTTATCAAATTCGGAAGGGGACGAAAAACAACAGTTGAAGCAGCTGAAGATTGAAGACCCCGACCCTCGTCTCTTTGAGGATTAGCATGAATTGAAATTCTTCGGATGACTTTGTGAAGGTCGTCATTATCATTGCAGCGCAGCTGAGGTTACATACGGAAGGCTGACCCTGAGGCACCACGCGGTAACGAAATCTGGCCAAGGTCGCGGAAAAAGAAACACGGCCAAGTTCGATTTCCAGATGGAAATCCAGCTGCCCGGCCCGGCTGGATTTCGAGTGTGGGGTTGTATGGCAGTGCGCTGCTGGCTTTCTTCTCGATGTGCACTACTGCCAGCCTGCCAGCTAAGGTCCTTGAAGCAGGGGACTCGCGACACGAATCGCCGAGGCTATATGCTGCTTGATTTCACTGACTATGTCAAGCACTACGAAGGGCTCAATCCTCCGAAGAAGCTCACGTCCTTGGAAGCGAGCTTCCGGACTGAATTATTCATTGTTTGTGCGAAGTTTTACTCACTCGGCCTACTGCGGCACTACTGCGTGGTGACTGAGGCAGGAAGTGGAAGATGGACAAAGAGGATCCCACGATCCCGAAAGACGTCGAGAAGGTCCCAACTCAACTCCTGATTGAAACGACCTGCACTTGAGCGATAACCGACTCGACAGGTGCGGACGGCAAGCGGACAGTGGGTGGATGTGGAGCTGGTGGGGGTGCCGATGCCAAAGCAGACGTTCACGGACGTGTATGTTGACAGGAATCGGTCACTAGGGCTCGTGGTTCAAAAAAAACACACGGGCGAGACGGACCAGGGTGACCAGGTACGATATGCGATCGAATCTCTTCGCAAAGGACCTCAAGAGCTGCTGGAGGAGGAAAAAAATGCGGCCAGTGGATCGGCAGGGTCTTCTGGAGGCCTGGACCCCAAGTCTTCCAAGGCGGCCAAAGCCAAATCCAAGCAGAAGCCGAAGAAGAAGGTTATGCCAGTGGAAATACTCAAGCTGCAAGCAAGGACAGGATTGTTGAAACCGCAATTGAAACCCATCACGGCAGACAATCTTTCACATCATTCTTCCCAATTGTCAGGACCAAGATTGGCGCTGCCCTCGAGTCCCTTCACAACACAGTTCAGGGCAAGATGTTGGAGATGGAACCACAGGTTGAAGAAGTAAGGGCAGAGGACAGCGACAGCGATCCTGTAGTAGGCATGCTGTGTCGAGTCGAGTTAGACTTCCAATGGGGTAGCGGCTGATCGTGCAGGAGAGTGACCCCCGGGCTCCGGCATCGCCGTATCGAGAGCCCTGTCCAACATCTGGTTCATGGCAAGTTCATGCTAGCCCCACAACATGTACGAACACTCTGTTGTTTGCTGCTGTGTGTTGCATGTTGCAAGCTCTCCGAGTCGCCAAGGTTCCGGCCTTGCAGCGACGCCGGTGCATCCAAAGCTGGCTCGATGACACGGATTCCACCGTCCTGAGACGGCTAGTGCAAGAAGAAGGTCGGTTGAGCGGTTGAGCGACATTGGCACATTGTGGCAAGTCATTGGCGCTGGCACGCTTCTGTAGTGCACCTTGTCAGGCTACTTGAAAGCTTTGGAGAATATGAAACAGATTTGCACGTACGAAGACATGAAGAAGGCGCTGAATGCGTTGGACGCCGCAAGCAGTTACTTGGCCGGTGCTGGACCTCCAACTCCGAAACCAGCAACTGCCAATTACAGCTACAGCCCAGGTGATGTGGAGGTGGCGACGATAGTCCAGAACATCGAGCGCTGCTTGTCCTGAGGTCCTAAAGTCGCGGGAGTCTGCGCTCACGGCTCACGTACCGTCTAGACTTCTGTCGTCTCCTTTTATCCCGAGGTGACACTGGCAACGTGAAGATCATAGTGGCGGCGCTGAAAGAGAGCTTGAAGCACTTTGCGCAGTACAGGAACGCAGCAAAGAAAGCACAGGCGAATTCACAGAAGAAGAAGGAGCGAGAGCAGCGATGGGGGGGGGGGGAAGGGCGGGGGGCGAGACTGCGTGTCCGCATGTGGATGTGGCATGTGCTGGTTGTGCTTGCTGGCTAGACTCCGGCTGGACATGAGACTCATTAAACAGGAGAAAGATGCGAAGAAGAGGGCCAAAAAGTTGGCGAACAAGGCCGATCCGCTGTCCGCTGTCGTGAGTGGTTCAGTTGTTAGTTGTTAGAGTCAGAGTCAGATTATTTGTTGAAAGTCGAAGGTGAAATGATTTGTCTGATTGTCGTGCGACAGTGTCTCCTGGCTCCTGGTCCTAGTTCTTGTCGAATGGTTAGTTGAATATTTCATAAAACATCACGGCCCGATGATGACAGGGTGGAGGAGACCGGACAGACACACCGCTGCTGCCTGGCGTGTTGAAAAACGATGCCGAAGTGCTGCAGCGGTGCGTCTGCTACACCGAAGAGCGTTCTGTGATCCCGGTTCTGATGGCCGCCGATTTCGACTGGAGGCCTGATGGGTGCCTGGGCTTACGGCTTACGTGTTAACTTGTGAAAGAGAACGGGCGGGTGATCCGGGTGATACGGTGATACATGATATAATACATATCCAAACTATCTAGACTCCAACTCCAAACTCCAACAAGCCGTGCCCAACCGAGTTGCATGCTCATGAATCCGTATATTCTTCGGACATGGGAGCACGCCGTCGCCGGTGAGACCATCGGCGAGAACGGGAACGGGGCACTCAGTTATTTTGAGTCTGACTTCGACTTGATGACGGTGAAAGAGTGCTTGACGACCTTCCATGCCAGCTTCGCCACCCGGAAGGAAGGGACGCTCTTCAGTGTGTTCCCGAAAGCAAAGCTGTCGGCGAGCGCTCGGCAGCTGGCGGACAAACTCCGCTCCATGGTGCCGCTGGATAGAGAAGATGACGGCACGCCTGCTGCTACCCGCAGGGATTTCATGCGGGAGCTCCTCGCGGATGCACCGCCCGAAGATGATGCAGCTCCGATTCCGATCGTGAATGCCGTTCGCGACTTGCACATCGTGGGCTTCAAAGCCGGTTACCGCCAGGCCGGGCGGACGGGCCAGTTCAGGGAAGTTGGTTGGGTCGGTTGGGGCCCGGGGCCGCCAGGTGTTGTCGAGCTGAGCTGAAAGCGCAGTTTTCGCGAGAGATATACAAACACATCATGTCATGTCTTCGTGGGTGGGGATGGGTCGTGGTTGGGTAGGTTGTGGCTGGTGGAACGGGTTGGCCGATTGAAATTGTAAATTTGAAGCCTTTGCTAAACTTTGCTGCACTGACTTTGCCGCTTGATTTTGTGTCTGCGATCCATGATGCAACTTCTGTTGAGGAATGCTGCCAGCCGTACGGCTTGCCAACGGTGCTGCTGCTTTGCAGCGGACAGAACCCCGCCGGCCAAATTTGCCAAAATTCGGAGAATTCGAGGGCGACTCAACTCGGCATGACTGCCATGATTCGGCATCACTCGAGGTCTGCAGCTGCAGCTTTAGGGTTTTCGGTTGTGAGGCAACTTGCGTGTGCCAAGGACGGTGCACTACGTTATCGGGAACTCCAGCGACATGAACATGCAGACATCCTTTGAACTTCCGTCCATCATAGCGTATGCAAAAACGGAGGATGCATTAAAGCAGGAGGAGGAGCCTGCAATGTGGGGCTCCTTGTTGCCAGGAGATTGCTTATATGTGCCGCCTGGGGCCATTACGGTGTTCAAAGTTCACGGCAGTGCGGCGATCTTCTTGAGAAGTCAAAGTGCGGTGACGCCCGGCCATACTTTCATGCGCGTGCCTGGCTTGCACCCCGTGTGCCGTGTGCCACGTGCTTGTGTGCTTGCATGGTGTTGGACAGTTGGGCCGTGTTTGTGCCAAAGTTTGTGCCGTTTGTGCGGCCGCTGCATTGAATTCGTATTGAGTGTCACTTCGAAGTTCAGCTGAGGTTGTCAGTGGACAGCTGTGTGACAAGAGGAGCTTCGGGGTCTTGAAGCGAGCTTTGCAAGCAGTTCGGGACAAGTTCCCAGATGAGGAGTCTGACTACTTCGACGACACCTTCCAGGACAGAGCACATGTCAATTGCCAAACTGACAAGGCCGCATGGCATGCGGCGGCATGCATGGTGTGTGACACGGTGTCTCTTGGACACAACGGCAGGACAAAGATCATGGTCCAGCAAGGAAAGATGTGAAACGAGAATACGATCAGCGGGAGGCGAGTCAGTCGGGACTGCTATATACTGCTGCTGCTGCCTACTACTACTACAACTACAGCAACTACAACAACTACAACTACAACAACAACTACTACTACTACTCCTACTCACCGGAGGCTTCCTCAGCGTCGACGGCGGGAGAAGCCGGTGTGGCTGCAGCTGCAGCAGTCCCACCGAGCATGGATCTGGATGAGAGTGTGGATGGGTTGGAGTTGGACTTGAATGATGAGAACATGTTGATGAATCCGCCAGGGCCAACGAAGGCGGAGCCGCTGACGGTGCCGCTGCTGACGGAGCCTCCTTCGGTGTCGGAGCCGGAGCCAGTCGAGCCAGTGGTCGTCAAAAGGTATGCACCAAAAAAAGTCACGACTCCAGAAGCCCTTGCAGCCACATTGGCCGACGAAGCCCCACCGGTTCCAACGACGACTACAGACGATTCTGCCTTTGCCACCACAGCGCCGATTGCCATGATGGGTATAGGGTTTATTTAGGCTTGGAGGTTTAAGCTTTAGGTTCTAAGCTTTTGTCGGGTTTTTGGGTTTCGGTTGTAGGCTTTGGGGTTGAGGCTTCGAGGTTTAAAATTCCAAGGACGATTCCAGAAGCCGAAGCAGCCGCACTTGCACAGCTTGCCATCGTGACAGACGAAGCCCCACCGGTTCCAATGACGACTCCAGAGGATTCTGCCTTTGCCACCACAGCGCCGATTGCCATGATGGGTATAGGGTTTATTTAGGCTTGGAGGTTTAAGCTTTAGGTTCTAAGCTTTTGTCGGGTTTTTGGGTTTCGGTTGTAGGCTTTGGGGTTGAGGCTTCGAGGTTTAAAATTCCAAGGACGATTCCAGAAGCCCCAGCAGCCGCACTTGGACCGCTTGCCATCGTGACAGACGAAGCCCCACCGGTTCCAATGACGACTCCAGAGGATTCTGCCTTTGCCACCACAGCGCCGATTGCCATGATGGGTATAGGGTTTTTATTTAGGCTTGGAGGTTTAAGCTTTAGGTTCTAAGCTTTTGTTGGGCTTTTGGGTTTCGGGTGACGGTGTAGGCTTTGGGGTTGAGGCTTCGAGGTTTAAAATTCCAAGGAAGCCCCAGCAGCCGCACTTGGACCGCTTGCCATCGTGACAGACGAAGCCCCACCGGTTCCAATGACGACTCCAGAGGATTCTGCCTTTGCCACCACAGCGCCGATTGCCATGATGGGTATAGGGTTTATTTAGGCTTGGAGTTTTAAGCTTTATTTAGGTTCTAAGCTTTTGTTGGGCTTTTGGGTTTCGGGTGTAGGCTTTGGGGTTTAGGTTTTAGGTATAATTGGGGCTTATTAAGAAGCCCGCACCGGTTCCAAATTCCAAGGACGGTTGCTATGATGCCAGGCGAAGCTCACGAAGCCCCACCGATTCCAACGACGACTACAGAGGATTCTGCCTTTGCGACCACAGCGCCGATTGCCATGATGGGTATAGGGTTTATTTAGGCTTGGAGGTTTAAGCTTTAGGTTCTAAGCTTTTGTTGGGTTTTTGGGTTTCGGTTGTAGGCTTTGGGGTTGAGGCTTCGAGGTTTAAAATTCCAAGGCACTTGCACCGCTTGCCATCATGACAGACGAAGCCCCACCGGTTCCAATGACGACTCCAGAGGATTCTGCCTTTGCCACCACAGCGCCGATTGCCATGATGGGTATAGGGTTTATTTAGGCTTGGAGGTTTAAGCTTTAGGTTCTAAGCTTTTGTCGGGTTTTTGGGTTTCGGTTGTAGGCTTTGGGGTTGAGGCTTCGAGATTTAAAATTCCAAGGAAGCCCCAGCAGCCGCACTTGCACCGCTTGCCATGATGACAGACGAAGCCGCTGCCACAGCGCCGATTGCCATGATGGGTATTATGGGTATAGGGTTTACCTAGGCTTTGACTTTGAGGTTTAAGATTTAGGTTCTAAGCTTTTGTCGGGTTTTTGGGTTTCGGGTGTAGGCTTTGGGGTTGAGGCTTCGAGGTTTAGGGTTTAGGTTTTGGGTATTCGGGTTTATTGAGAAGCTCGACCGGTCCCGGTCCCACCGTCCCACCGGTTCCAAATTCCAAGGATGATTCCAGAAGCCCTTGCAGCCGCACCGGTTGCCATGATGACCGAAGCCACGCCGGTTCCAAAGAGGATTCCAGAAGCCACTGCAACAGCGCCGATTGCCATGATGGGTGTAGGGTTAATTTAGGCTTGGAGGTTTAAGCTTTAGGTTCTATTCTTTTGTTGGGTTTCTGGGTTTCGGGTGTAGGCTTTGGGATTCAGGCATCCTGCGAAGAAGAAGCGCAAGGCGGCGGACGACGTCCAATGGGGCCGCATTCCGAAGGAAGCGCTGAGTGCGAGGTTGGCCCAAGCCTTCAATTCAGCAGCCTCATCGTCAGACAAGTCCGACAAAGGACCGAGCGTGTGTAGTCAAAGGCAAGGGTTATCAGTCATCAGTCATTCCATTTTTTTCACGTCCTCAGTTTGCGGGGGTCTCCGCTAAAGTTTAGGCCACGGCTGGGGTGGGGGTGCCATGATTAACGGCAGCGGCAGGGGAGCCGTTGTGTGGGTCGGCGTGAGTCCGTCAGTGCGTGCTGAGCCGCTGAGCAAGCAAGCAGTGTTCTTTCGCACATGCTGCAGGAACGAAGTGATCCCGAAGACGACCTGCGTAAATTTACGTTGCACAGGCAGGCAGGACTGCATAGTCGATCAATGCAGCTGCAGTTGCTGCAAACCTGTTGTGATGCCCCTGACCATGGTGTTGTTGTTATCCGCCGCACTCTTGTCCTGTGCATGTTTTGTGCGCGCAGGCTGCAACGATGCTGGATCATGCTGGATCTGTTTTTCTGAGATGCCTGATGCGTGACCGTGCAGCAGTGCATTCAAGCCTTCAAGTGGCGCGTACTCGTAAACCTTGAACCTTTTGGACCCTATTTGGTGAGTAGCTGCTGTTAGTGGTTGGGGGGCGAGAATCGGAAGTCGCTTGGCAATCTGCTTTTGAAACTGGCAAAGTACTGTGGATGTTGGGCATCGGGTTTCCACGGGATAATTATGTTTAACTAGTGTGCGGCCTTGCGGCCCTTGCGTCTTGCGGTGAAGCGTACGTACCAGGGGAAACTTGGGCTGCGTGCGCCGCCTTGGTCCAAAACTTCCTAAACTTGAGAGCCCGAAGTCGCCCGAAGGCCCGAAGCCCTATAAACTATAAGGCTTCACATTCACATGCTGCACTGTTGCACTCGATGGTCATGACTGCGGAGGAGTCACGTGCATGTCAGCGCGTGGCTCGGTTGTCATGATACTCGTGGTAAAGAAGCTGCTCCCACTGGGACTCCCACTACTACAGAACATGCTACAATGTCACGACGGTCATGACTACAGTATGTTCCTTGAGTCATTGATTCTGGATTGATGCTGGCACGGTGCTGGGCAAGAAGATTTTGGTCCCGTAGGGAACCGGAGGGATGAAATCTTTATTTATCCTACCAATTTGTCGACGGTTTTATATTCTTTATAAAACCGAGTGCGCGTTCATTTCTTTTGGAGCATGTCAGTGCTGTCTTGCAGATACTGACTTGAGATTCATCTCCGTTGCCCTTGCTTTCAAGGGACGGGGGGGTGGGAAACCTACTTTCCTCGGCATGAGCGAAACTGCTTGTGCTGGGGGGTGTGGGTGCCGTAGCTGTTAGCCGTCGGGCGGGTTAGTTCCACCCTCTGGTGGATGCCATGGAAAGGTCAGAACCCAGCTTGCCTGCGGCAAGTACAGCCATAGATGACGAATCCGGTGACATGTCTAACCCGTTCAGTCTGCTTGACGACCGTGCCGAAGGTCGTGCTTTGTCCGAGGTATCATGTGACGTGTCTGATTGGGATTCATGGCTTCTTGAACAATACAGTAAAGATCATGTGCCGAGTGACGCCGCGCATGCGCCTAGCGAAGCAGGTGTTGAACCTGAGGTTCAGAGCCCCAGCTTGGCCATTGAGACTAGCTTAGACCGGGAGCTGGCTGCCGGTGACCGGGGTGTTCAGGGTCGCAGTCATGCGTCGCAGGCGGCACCGTCAGGGGAGCCGTACAATCGTGCAGGATACGAGTGCCTCTTGCAGTCTTCATTCCAGTCCCTAGATCAACAGGTGCCGAAATTCTTTTGGCAAGAAGGGTTCTGGGCAGATGTCTTCGGCCCCAAAGCTCCGCTTGTGCAAGCACCTTCATTTCCTCGCTTCGAACCGCCAGCAGGAACAATTGCTCCGCAGGACTCCGTGCCGGGGTCAAGTGGATCCAAGAGAGCCCGTAGGCTTGCTCCTTGTATCTTTGAAAAGGTGGTTGTCAACATGCGTGTAATCTCTTGGAGGGACCAGCGCGAAGCAGACCTCATTCGTGCGTTGTCAAAGTGGTGCCTGGTGTTTGAAGCCTGGGACGTATCACTAACCAATGTTGCCGATCGGTTAGTGTACTTGTTCACATCTGTTTTACTACTTTATGTTCGTGCGAACATTTGGCTCAGTTGTGCTGGCTAGGCATCTTTTCGAAATGCGTTTTCATGTCTGCATGCTTTGCATTTTACTGACATAGTCTCAGACTTCCTTGCAGGCAACATTTCACAGCTTTACAACATCACTTCGCACAACCTTCTTTTGTAGTCTCCTCGCGGCCGGGGGGGGTGCTTCAGCCCCACAAGTGGGCTTATGGCTTCGAGTGCGGGGCTAGCGGATACCGTTGATGCTCTTTCAGTGCAGAGTGTTGGCCACCAGCATTATCTCGATTTGCTCTGCCGTTGGTTGAACGAGTTCGGCAGACGTCTCTCTCGAGTTGAGCGTGCACTGTTGCGTGCTGTGAGCGTGAGATCACACGCCTCAATCGCTGCAACTTGCTGCTTCTTAGGGCACTTGAGGAAGCTAGGGACGAGATTAACTCCTTGCGTTCTAGGGTTGCTGCTCTTGAGACGGCCGGCTTGTGAGTATGAAGCGTCCTGCGGATCCCGATTGCAATCCCGCGCTTAA